TCCCATGCTTGTGAGCAGCGGCAGATTCTCCTGGCTAAGGAGGCAAAATGCATGAGTTGTTGTGCACACAACAGGATCTGGATTTATTAACTTTTGTTTTTTGGTATAGCTGTCACTTTATCACGATGAATTAACCAAGAAAAGCTTTAGAAAATCTGAATCAAATATTTCACCTCATACTTTCTCTGACTATAAAGAAGTATTCTTATCCTGTGATTCAGGAATCTCTGGTGCTCAATAGGACATCATGAGACTTTTTGCAAAAAATTGCATGCATGTTTGCACTCTCATGAGTAAATAAACAAATAGATGAAAACTGAAGAATTAATGTTAAGTTAACTTTTTGATAGTTGGGTTTAGAAGAAAACCACTCTGATATCACTCGCACAAGATGGTCCCTAGATTTTTTTCAGGGGGAATGTGGGCTTCTAGGCTAAAAAAGTGTGGGCAATACTGCAACAAGCTGCTTGTGCAATAAAGGATTTTCAGGAACGTGTCTGCAGTTTAGTGGTAATAGAGCTTATAACAATTAAGGATCCAGCAACTCACAAAGTATTTTGTCTGTCTAGAGCTCAGCAAGGAAGACAGTTCGGAAATAGAAATCTTTTGATCTTAAAATGACAAGATCTGAATAGTAAAACCCCCTCTCATAAGAAACACAGCCTATAATTATGGCACATCTATTATTTAAAATGTTCTTGAAAATTCACATAAAAGCTATTCAAAACAAAAGGATGGGATTAGGTCAGGAAGTGGTCTGTAAAACTGAGAATTTTTTTTTTTTTAGCAATTCCTGCCTTCCTTATTCAAGCAAGCATTTGCTTGCAGTAATTGCCATTCAATATGTAAATTATTTGGTCCAAATGGCTTGTTTTTTTCTCTGTAAAAATAGATCCTCATTAATTCTATTTTATTTTAAAGAAAATCCTATATATGTTCTCCCATATATGTTCAATGTTTCTGAAGAGGCTCAGATTTTTCCTTTCCTATACCCTCTCCTCCTTGGACAACTAAGCCATATTTGTGCCTGATAGCAAGCAAATTTGGCAGAGTCACTGTTAACGTTAGCCACAGATATTATAAATGAAACTCTGCAATATAACCGTCTCACAGCAGACATCAAATAACCTAGGAAAACAAGTGAGCTGGAGCTTAGTCATATTTGATAATTAATGTGTGATGGTTTCCAACGAAAATTAATTTAGTGATGGAGTAAAACATATGGAATAATGCTTAAGCTTACATCAAAGGCAAATATTGAATACATTAGGATACATTATCTCTACTCTTTCTGGAGTACATTATGTTCTATTAAGATGTGATGTTCTGAATTTCTGCCTTGGCTTCTCTGAGAATTTGTATGATGGCTCACAAATGTGTTCCCCAGTGCCCTCCTCTGTAGCACTATTCCAGTTCAGCTATCATTTTTTGTTTCAGATGAAGCATTAACACTCATTATCTGTCAGTGGAATAGAAAAGAAAACAAAACAAACCCCAAAAGACCCAACAACACTTTTTTTTTAGATGAAGTGTCTTTCCTGGATGACACTTCTGATGTTATCCGTAGGAAAAGCCTTCAAAGAAAATGGGTATCAAGTCTGAAACATTACATAATGCTGAGTTGAAAGACAAAGTGTTTTCTGGAATTTTAATTTTTTTTAAGCAGCTGCCTTTACGTACACACAGCCATCACTGTTATAAAATATTCAAAGCCTCATACATATCAAACAGAGCTACAGTTACTAGGGCAAACAATCAAATGTATCAGTTGAACAAACACTTGAAATTTTTCCTAAGCCCACTCTAGGTCTTTACAATATGTCTAATTTTAATTGATTTTTATCAAACGTCTTTTTTTTTAATGACAGTTTTCAACTTTCCAGCATTCTGCTAGCTTTTGGGGGAAGTGGGCAAGCATGCAGTCATGGAAGGCCGAGATTAAAGACTTCTCTGTGTTGGGTCATTAGCCATTCCACTTGCTGTACTGTAGCTCATTTTCCCATTCCTAATTGATCATTTCATTGATCAGACATTATAGAGATGGCTTACTAACCTAAACTTTAGCTTTGAAATGCAGTAGAGACTATAATTATCTGAAAGTCTTCAAGGATGCCTGAAATTCTCAGACAGTTGCAGCTTCAGTTCATCAAGGAGTCTGGCTACTCGAGAGAGGGCAGAACAGCTCTTTCAGCCCCGTTCCCTAAGGCCAGAATTCTGGAGAGAGATCTGGAGAGAGAAGAGAGCTATCTGTATAAAATGTTCTGTCCAGAAGTTTCGTGGGGTACGTATTAAGAAGAGATGCAGAAGCCCCTTTTCTGAAGCTAGGCTGGCATAGCTAAGAACATGAAATACCTGCTTAGCCATCCCAGGTTTAGGAGTTATTGAACCAGGAGCTTGAAATGGTTCACAGAAGAGCTTTTCTGCCTCCTGTGATTAGATTCTTTCCCCTGTTGGCAACCATGTCTATCTTAATATGTATTGTCTTGTCTTGAAGGGTAGAGGGTTATTGAGGTGTTTGTAACATGGAAAGCTGAGGAGACACAAGGTCCAAGATGTGCACTGGGCTGGAGGGACCTTCCCAGTCAGTCCTCTGTTGTGTGCTCTGGGAGAGAGGGTGCATGTGCCGAGGGTTCAGTTATCACACTGTGCATGCGTGCACGTTGGTGTGTGTGTGTGTGTGTGTGTGGAAACTGCCTGGAACCTATTCTTGTCTTATTAAAAACCTTTACAGGGCAAAAACTTTCAGGGAAGTAAACAGTCCCAAACTAACCAAATGTGATGGCTGATTGAGACTGAGGTAATGATCAAGGCTGAGGTAGTAATGCTAATACACTGCCCTTGTACTTCCGTGAGTCCCTCGTGCATGTCTCTCATTCCAGTTTAGATAAACTCGCCCCTAAAAACTGAGGTCTTTACTGTTTTCTTTAGTATTATAGATCCTTCTAAATAATGTATTCTGTCTTTGTGAATTATTCTCCTTACTGCCTGTTAATATATGTTATGCTATGGGTCATCATCTACTCTGAAGACTGTTTTCCACTGCTGTGCACATTGTGATAGTGAGGATAAGAGACTTCCCTTTGAAGGCAGTTTATAAATCTTATTGGGCTTCTTCATGATGAAAGGCACTATAGAGATATAAGAGATCAAAGCTGTGTAAAGATCAGTGGTATTTGTTTGCATGAGGTTTCTCTTTCAGTTTCTTCTGAGGATTTTGAGCTTCAAAGTTTCAGCTTTAAAGAAACTCAAAAACCAAAAGAAAACCTTAGAAAACACCATCATGTTTCAGTGGGTTCGAGGTCAGGCCAGCCAAGTGCCACATGGTTCTGACCTGTACTCCTAAACTCTTCTCCAGCATTCTTCTATCTGCCAGCAAAAGCCGGTGCTAAGAAAATTTTTGGTCTTCCAGAATGACAGTGAGGGTCAGCAGCAGGAAGTTTTGTAGGGAA